GTCTTGTTTACAACAACAACAAATCTGTTATAGTTGTCAAGTGAGTTTCCACCACAAGTTAACAAATTCTTTAGTTTTTCCCCCTGGTTTGCTTCTTTCTTCAAAACTGCCTTTGGAAGCTTTACATGACCTGTAAGAACAATAAAATCAGAGCATTATTAACTAAAGAAATACATATTGTGGTGGAAAAATACTGAGTGATGACCCTCTGTCACCTAACTTCAGTCTTTCAAAGGCGGCAGGACAGATGAATATGGGAGTCAAATTAAGCCACAGTGTGTGTTTATGGTGATATAGGAACAGGTCACCCAGTGTGACTCAATAATGTGTTTTAAAACGTCTTTGGAACAAATAGCGCTCTATGTATCAGATTGTCTAAGTGGTTTTGATCTTTGTTGAAAGTAATAATCTCAAATATTTAATTAATTGTGTCACTCAGCATGTATCAGCAAGATATGATAGAAAACATTTAAGAGTGATGCAGATTATCAGCAAAAATACTAACCAATACTAACTAACATCTTTACATTGGTTGTCTTACCCATGTTCTTTTCCAGCTGACTGGCAAGTTCACGCTGATTGATTTCTTTTAGAATGTCTATTGTCACTTGTAAAGCCCCGTCTATCCCATAGTGGCCAGTCATTAACTCTGTGGTGTCCATGGTGTCCTTGCCCTCCAGTCGTCCCCGAGGAATAGCTTCATGCTCCGATTTTGTGTAGTCTTGTAAGTAGAAATGAAACATTTTCAGGTCTTCTTTCACAAGGTTGTCTAGAGTTTTCTGGATCTCCTCAGTGATCTTTGGTCTGTGTGGTTGGACTGTGGTCTGAAACAGAAGTAAATATGTTGTGTAAACTTTACAATTAAGTCATTGTTTATATTTGGAAAAATCCTGAGGGTTTGTTTTGACTTTATGTTCGTAAAGTACACTGATAACATTGTTTTTTGTTGCGTATCAGATTTTGCTACATCTGAAGGCTCTGTTAACAGCCTGGACACAATAATTCCACAATGTACAAAACAAGATAGAAATGTTACCGCAACAGTTTCTTTTCTCTTGATTCCCCTTGTCTTTGGCTGTTGAATTTTCTTCTTCTCTGAAACTTTCCCAAATGGCAGCTGAGCCTTTCCAGATTCATTTCCCACCATTTCATCTGTGTTTGATTGAATTTTGTCACTAACTTCTGGTTGTTTTGTTCCTTTTGCCTGAGCCAGATTAGGTTCAGGCTGAATGGGTTTGGGAGCTTCTTCTCGGTCTGTGCTGGTGTGGAGGGTGGGATGAAGTGTCGGCTCTGGTTTCTCTTTCAACTGATGGAGCTCTGACAGAATCTTTACAGCAGGACCACCTTTCACATCCAGATCCAGAAAATCCTGTTTGCTGAAGCAAACAAGACAGTCTCCAGACACATCTTCCTCATGGAGTCGTTTTGCATATTTGCTATACACCTTCACGTGCTGCAGTAACCACTGGTTCACTTGCTCCTTTGTCCACTTTTCCACATATGCTGGGAACTGTGATTCATGTTGTGATCCTTCTTTAAGTCTTTCTAGGTAAGATGTGATTTTGACAGCAGGACCATGTTTGATTCCCATGTCCAATATATCTTTCTTTTTGAAGAGAACTAAATATTCCCCCAACACGTCCTCTTCAATGAATATGTCAGCACAAGTCTTATGAACTTTGACTTTTGACATCAACCACAGGTGGACGTCTTCTGTGGTCCATGTGTTCATCAGAGGTGGTGGCTCTGGTGTTGACCGGCTCATTTTTACACACCAAGACTGAAACAGAGTGAAAAGTGAAAGTAAGAAGATTTTAGACTTTTCAGTCTAAAATTAATTGTTTGTCTTTACATTAAATATTTTGGCCAAAATCCACCCAATTGCTGACTTTTACCTATCTCATCTTCAGTGATCTGATCACAAGTGGACAGCTCTAAGCGCATCCCTCCAGACCTGGTATTATAAGAATATTATTGGTTCGTTAAGAAACTGTGGCGGGAGTAAGTGGTGACACAGGATGCATTCACGCTCACACTACTAAAAAAATGTGACCACGTGGCCAAGACAGCCTCTGAATGTGGTCTGAGTGATTGCATCTCTAATGCGTCTTCACTGCGTCTTGGTTGTGATCACCTGAGATGGATGTGAACACAGTCACGCCCACAGAAATGACAGAAACTATAGAGACAATATTTCTAAATTACTGTGCAATATGATTTATGTGAGTTTGACACTTGAAGACTGTTCTTACATTCATCTACTGAGGGTTTCTCTGGAATGAATTATATTTACATATTTAAACATTCAGGTAAATTGCATACAATACATGATAACATGATGCATCGTAATTGATACATGATAATGGACTGCGACTGCAAAATGTAATCATTTGTGTTATTTTCTTCTTTTTTTTTCTTTTCAGAAAGTCAAGTTATTTATTTGTAGACATCAAATCAGTCAATGGCCTTCGTGCCTGGGCATGTGGCCTTTGTGCTATAAACGTTTTTGTGACACCAAATAAAATAAATAATATAGAATAAGTATTTCAAAAAATTTGCCCTGAGTTTGTCAGAGCTACAAACACAGACTGATGTTCTGAAAAGTGCACTGTTTGAATTTAGTGGTTTTTCACATCAGCATGGGTTTGATCTGATGTTGTATTAAACTCCTTCTATGTTGTATTAAACTCCTTAATTTATATGCCATTAAGAGACGGTGCATTAAATGTATCTAAAAGATTTTCAAAAAACCATAGGAATGAATTGTACCCTTGCCAGATGTGTATTCTTTAAATGCACAAAGCCATGGTATACATTATGTGTTTGGTATCTGAACAACAGAAGCGAAACTTCTCACTGATCCTCACAGAAATGACACAACTGGTCTACCACTTCCTGTCTGAACAGTCCAAGGCAGGCAGAGGCAGTCCCTCTCATGGATTGCCTGTTATATGGGATTAAAAATAAGAGATAACGCCCATGGTCGGCAGCTGACAGAGTTAACCCCTTCTAAACTCAAGGCTTGTTGTCTGACATTTCTGAATCCAGTAATAACTGCTTCATAACAGTATCACTGATGTTCTGTACTTCTGTACGGAAAAAAATTCATGGTCAGTGATATTACTTATAGGTCAAGCACAGTTAAAGGAGCAACTTGGGAAATATTATTTTTTGCTTTCTTACCCAGTGTTAGATAACACTTTCACATCCGTACATTAAACATACAGCTTGCAGACAGCTTAGTTCAAAGACTGACTGCTACCCAGGCTCTGTCCAAAGGTTAAAAAAACTGAACTTTGCATATGTAAACACTGAAATGTAAAAAACAACAAGGTGTGATTTTACTGGAGGTTATGTACTGGTATTTTTTCTAATGTTCCCTTTGTGTATGATGAAGTTGCTTTTACTTCCTTACTAAATTAAAGAACTAGGATGGGAAACTTATGTAACACAAATGAGCACTGCTCGTAGCTAGAAAGTCATAGGAATTTGCAACCACACAAAAAGATGAGTGTACAACTTCCTCAACACGCATCTTAAGAATTTTCCATAGTTGATTTGTACCAATAAATCCAGGCAATTCAGTGTTTACTCGACAGATATTTGGAACTGGTTAAAGCAGAGCATTTAAATCCAGCCTAAGAATAGATTAGTCCCAAACTAGTGGCTGTGCAACTGCCCAATAAAATATAGTTCATCCACCATTAAAACCTGTTTTTAACATAACACGACACATGTAACAGTCCACCATTACATAACTCTAGTCCTATTTAAAATACTTTGACATTTCATCTACTTCCTCATATAAACCTTTCCTCTTACAAAGCAATTATCACAATAATAATCCAGCCAGCATAGTGAAGGTGTATTTGGTGTAAGTGTTCAACTGGCTGACATACAGAAGTCAATAGTTAATATTGTTTACCGCGATCACAGACACAGCAGCACCCAGTCAAAATAATCTGAACTTCAACTCTACCTGTGCCCATCAGCTCTGTGAAAAATCATATCTCAAAGCCAATACCTGTAAACTCAGACTCCGTACTATGAACCACGGAATTTCCCACATACCTAAATCATTCCTTCCTCGTCAGGCCAGGTTTTACTCCTGACTGCCTCATCTGGAACATGAGATGTCTGATGATGCTCCTAATGGAGGCAAAGCTGCACAGGAATCATTTTACTGGAGATAATGTAGAGCTAAGTAGTACAGTGAAAACCACAGCTACGAACTGTGGACTCAAATGACTGTAGTGACTCATGAGACAAAAATTCTACTCGCTGCTCTCTGTACAAGAGACTGTATCCGCTGTAAAACCACACCCACCACAGCACTTCCGTTTGCATGGCTTAAAAAATAGGTTGGAGGTTGTGTCTACCAGGCACAGAGGCTCTAATGAGAGATTCTTGCATTATGGGAAATGTAGGACACAGAGTTTGACCCACACCAGAAAATAGAAGTCAGGATATCTCCACCTCTGCTGCACCAGATTTTTTTAAAAACACCCTCAGGCCATTAACTGAAGTCCCACTAACTAATTTTTATTATGAAGCTTTCAACTGCATCTGATGGGCTTCATCTGCAGATAGTTTGCTTAGCTGTCACAGAGATGACAGATATAGTCTTCATGAAAACTGAACAAACTCTTTGCACTGACAAAGACTGTAAGATTGTAAGACATGTCCTAATATATTGACCTTGAGTTAAGACTGCAGTTGTGGAATATCCAATAGTTATTAGCACTCAGTTTAGTCTGTGATGTCCTAAAGAGACCACCGTACAGAGAAAAAAAAACCTCTTTCGATTCAGTTAACAACATGACCTTTCCTCTGGCGCCATCTACAGGACAAAACCCCACAGGCAAAAAGTTTCTCTGCAGATTTCATCCACCCAACAATCGAGTTTCCTTATTGGACTGATACCTGCGATTCTCCGTGTGCTGCGAAAACAGTGAAGTAAAACTGAATCAATCACTTTTAGAAACACATTAAAACCCTTTTACATTTTTTATTCATCATTTAAAGACAGAATAAACAAACAAAACTCAACTCTTTACTGAACATTTCATAAAGTTTTTAATTTAGGTATTTTAATCGGCATTGAACTTCAAATGTAATCAATTAGAAATGTAGAATTATTTTGGTGGCACTCTCCAGCCTCCGTAAACTCCTGCAGTACATTCAGAGATAAAACATGTCACAGTTCTGTATCACTGGCCACCACATACTGTTAAAGTCTATACATTAATTTCTTCATATACATCATCCATTGATAAAAATATTACAGTGTGAACATGTATATGTAAACTGATAGACACTGAATGAAAACACAGAGCTGTTGTGTCGTCAGGGACATGACAACGATGGTTCTGCCTCGCGTCGCCTTTCATGACAGACTTTCACTTAAAACCAGAGCCCTGAGTCATCACGCTGCGTTCACTTCACCCGGGAAAAATCTAATCACTTCACAGTTAAAAACATTCTCACAGACTCGTCGATCTGCTCCTGCTCAGCTGCTTCACTGCAACACAAACCAACATCACAATGATCACATGTAACTCCACACAGAGGCTGCTGTTGTGTGGTTAGCTGTAGTTTAAATCTGGGCTGAAACCCCACTGACTGATGTGTCCCATGAAGCTGTGGTTTAAACTGCACCTGGGTAGAGCTGAAACAATGAATTCATATATAATATTTTAATAACTGATCAGTTGTTTTGGCTGTTTTTCTACATAATTGTAAATTTTACACCTTTGGTTTTGGGACAGTTCAGCTCGACATGGGAAACTGAGATGGACGTTTCATAAACCAAACTATTAATGGAGAAAAAAATGGCAGATGAATGGATAATGAAAATAATTGTTAGTATCAGAAAATACCTTAAGAGTTGAAATGAAACCTTCTGCAGAGCTGCTTTAATTAGAGTTTCAGGTCAGAGTTCAGTGTGACGACAGATTCCTACAACTCAATCAAATAACACCAACATGGCTTAATTTCATTTCTGACTACAGAAACATTTATGAGATAATTCAGATGATTCAGATAAAAAGAGAAATGTTGTGTGAAGCTCTTCTAACAATTTAACTTTAAACACATTTACCACTTATAAAACAAGATTTATTTTTCTTAGCAAATGCAAAACAACTAAAAGATGACACATCTATACTTTTTAGGATGACAAAATATGCAAAACAATTAAGAATAATAAAAGCCTGCCGCACATTATTATTCTGCACATTTTAAAGACTGAACAGCAGCTTTTATCTACTGTCCTTTAACCTAAAGTAACAACAGACCTTTACTGAGACAAGGTGCAAAAGTAAACATCAATCTTTTTTTTCAAATGAAAATCTCGATTAATTTGATGATGTTGATCTGAAAGAATATATGCAACAGACTTTTGATACTGCAGGAGACTGTAAAGAGACTGTAATTACTGTAGGGACAAAATGGTCTCTGATGTGATGTACATTTGTATTAAGAGACAGATTTTTGTGATTATCTAAAGTCCAGAGTCACACTGTGTTAGAGGTGCTAAGATGAATACATTGATCAGTCGATTGATAGAAAATTAACAAAAACGTGAGGATTTTATCAGTGTAAACTGAAAATCTTCAGGATTTTAAAGCCAATGCTTTTGAAAAAAAAAAAAGAAGCCATTTAAAGTCGTCAATTCAGGCTCTGAAAAACAGGGACTTTTTTCAAATTGACAAATTGATCAGCAGATTAATTGATAGTAAAATAAGCCGCTCTACACTGGTATTTCTAAAATCTGTTCTCAGTGGTTCATGGTCTTCCTTCCACTAAATCTGAGGAGGCAACCTGCTCACGTTTGGTTTAGCTGCAGAAATCAGGTCCAACTGATCCAGTTTAGCTGAACTGCCACAAAGCCTGTCAGACACCTGGTGACACAACAACAGGCTCAGTGTTTTTATTATTCTAAATTAAAGTATTATTCCTGACACTCTGTTTCCAGAATTTGTAACAAACTCAAGTTCCTCAGTCTCATATTCCATCTGAAAAGAGCTGAAGCGTCTCTGAGCGACTGTGAACATGGTTTCTCAGTCAGAAGCTCAGATCTACAGTTTTTCCAGTAGGAAGTGAATGCAGCATTATTGTAACCACTCACATTAAAGAAAATAACTGACCGACCTCAGACACGCCCCTTAGTGTCTGTCGTCCTAACAGTGACCTCCTTGACCAAACAGTGCGATTAGTATTATGATGCTAGTCGTTGTCATGGTAACTTTATTATCTCTGACAGGAAATGAGGAGGAGGAGGATCTGGTGCGTTTCCTGTCGGTCTGCAGTGGGAGTGACTTAGCTGAGGATTTTGTGGTAGGGGTGAAGGGGGAGGGAGGAGGTGAACGCTCTGATGTCGGAGATGAGTGTGGTGTCCTGGAGCGACGGCGAGGAGGCGGACAAGAAGGTCAGCTCGCTGACTTCACCATAGGCCGAGGAGGAGGGGGGGTTGTCGGGGCTGTCGGTGCTGCAGCCGTTGTTCTGCTCCGGTGGGTCGTTCTCCTCCACCCCGAAACCAACCACCTGAGCAGAGACAGGAAACACGTGTGTTAAAGTGTCTGAAACTCACATCGGTGTGGAGCTGTTTTCATTCATGATGAATTTTAAAACAAGTGGTTTGGTGGTTTTTATTTATTGCTTCGGAGCTGAAGATGTGAGACATTTAAATTCTTAAAAAAAAACCAAAGCTCTTTATTGTTAATTTTTTACTTTTAAGCTCAAACATGTTTTATCTGTATTTGTTTATTTTAATAGTTTCTCATTTTATTTTATATAATTTTATTGTTATATACTTTAGTCTGTTTCATTTTCGGAGCTTTAAGTGGCCTGATTTAATTTTCATTGAGCTGAATTTTTATCTTGTTTTTTTCCATTTTACTTATTATCATTACTGCGCATCACATTCAAAGAATTTAGTTTTAACATGTTAAAGCACAATTATGTGTGCATACCGTAAATTCATTTTGTAGATAATTTTTTAGTTAATCAACAAAATTTCAGTAAATGGTAAAAAAAAGATTTCTGAGTTCAAAGCGACATTTTCAAAAGTCTCGTTTTCTCCAACCAATAGTAAAAAAAAAAGTTTAGTTTAGTTCCAGTTTACAAAGATAAAAAACAGAAAAACAGACAGAAGAGGATGATCAGCAGTTTTTCTTCATCATACAATGTAAACCACTGTTTTACTCAAAGCTTTCTCACTGTTCTTCCATGAAGAAAGTTATAAAATAATAAATATGTTAAATGGAGCTGAAATGATCAAATAGAAACTACTGAGATAATCAGTTCACTGTTAAAGTTATTTTTCTTTTGTATTAGACTGAATATCTTTTTGGCTTCAGGAAACATTTTTTTGCAACAGATCAAACAATGAATTGATGATAATTAAAAATAAACCT